CAGCAGGGTACAAAAACTGGAGTATGGACCTAACCCTTTCTTGCTCTATCGAAAACAAAAAAGTTTTTGGCTAGTAATCTATATTTTATTGTGTTTACGGTTGTGACACTTGGCTTGAGTACCCTCCAGGAGTTTATTGAATTGCCACTAATCACAAGCCCTGAAAGCAGACATCAGCAGGACAGAAACATGCTGAGTATACCATGACATAACACTCAGCTAAATTACTTTTACGTCTGGGAAATTTCTACTTTTTATCACATTCCCAATTAGCAGAGATTTCACTGCAGACTTTAAGGTTGCAACAACTTAGAAGAGTAGACGGCCCAAGGCAAGGATCACTCTAGCAGGGATGGCCAAACTGCGGCCCTCCAGCTGTGGTGGAACTACAATATCCCATGAGGCTTTGCAAGATTATCACAGCCACAGACATGACTCCCGGAGAGAGATGCTTCATGGGATTTGGAGTTTGGCCATTCCTGGTATCTTGTGGTGCATGACCATAGGCAAGAAGTTTAAAAAGAGACCCTGTCACCAACTTACAAATCTGCAGGTAAAAGCACAGAAAATCAAGTGTTTTAAATGGTTCATTGCAGTGTTTTATATATTTTTGACTCACAATGTGCCACTAAATCTACTATAAAAATTGACTACTGTAGAGAGAGTCTGGCCTTACACTAGTAGATTTCTGAACTAACTTTTGTACAAAAGATCTTTCTTTTGACTTTCTATTACTTGATGGGGTCAAAACGACGATCGATTTCGACCATATTTATATGTCTGTATTGAAATATTATATAAAGAAAGTTTTTCTCGAACAAACAAAATTCTAACAGTGAATGTAGTTTTCATTTGGGAAACTCCATTTATTCCGAATTCAAATGTTGAAATGAACGAATTTTTGTTTGACATTTGTCAAGTCTCTGATGGAATTATCGGGTGGCAAAGAAAGATCTTTCATTCGGAAATCTACTAGTGTATGGCCAGCTTTACTGCGCTGCCATGCATGTGTCTGTGCACAGAATGGCTTGACGTTGATCTGTTGTACTAAGTGGGTGAGCACACACATTGCGGTGGCTTCATAGGGACACCACTAGTTAATGGGGCCACTGCAAAGGAGGAAGCCAGGCTATGGAAATATTTGGATGGATCATGAGATGTACAGATGACCTACAAAGAGATCTACAATAATGTAAGTCACAGTAATAATCGTTTTTTTCATTTGAGTTTACCAACACATTAAACATCACACATTTGGACGCCATTTACACTTGTGTTTAGCGGCAGTCTTACAAGTTCCTTCACTGAGATTTAGCGGTGTCTACGCAAACACATGCGGGAAGGAAGCCCTATACAAAGCAATGAGAGGCTGACAGTGACCGCAGCTGTTTGCATGTAATCAGACATGAAGGGATTACATGCAGATGATTACCCTTAAGGTGCCCATACACTGCACGATTCTCGTACGAGAATCGCGGAAAATCCCGCGATCGTACGAGAATCGTGCAGTGTATGGAAGGCGTGCGACCGTTTCTACTGTACGGTCGCACGTCTTCCATCGAACCAGCAGGCTAGAAAACCCGCCGGGAATCGTACGATTCTCGGCGAGTTTGTGGCCTGCTGGTTCGACAACTGCCGAACGGGCCGGTGTGAGCCAGTTTGCAGTCATCGTAATGATCGCAAGTACGATCTGCCTGTCCAAGATGGGCAGATCGTACGTTTTTTTAAGTACTTTACAACCCTCGCAAGACAAAAGTCTTGTGAGGGTTGTAAAGTGTATGGGCACCTTAAAGCTGGCCATACACCTTAGGCTGGGCACACACCTTACAACCATCGCAAGACTTTTGTCTTGCGATGGTTGTAAGGTACTTAAAAAAACGTACGATCTGCCCATCTTGCATAGGCAGATCGTACTTGCGATGATCACAAGCCACGCGCCCTGAGGGGTGGGCTTCCGATGACCGCAATGCCGAATGGGCAGTGTGCGCTTGCGCACACTGACCCGTACGGCTTTTATCGTACGAACATGCCACAAACCGCCGAACATCGTACGATGCTCGGCGGGTTTTCGAACATGTCCGTAAGTTAAAAGTCGTGCGACCTTACAGTAGTAGAGGTCGCACGGCTTCCACACACCTTACGATAATCGTACGATCGCAGGATTTCCCGCGATTATCGTACGATTATCGTAAGGTGTGTGGGGACCTTTACAATTATCTGCAGATTTTCTGTGGTCAGAAGGAAAAGGTGCAACAGATTCCTCCATCTACACTTTACTGTGTGGATGGAGTAATCTCCACCTGGGCCAATCTGTTGCACTTTTTCCATCTGACCACAGAAAATCTGCAGATAATTGTAAGGTGTATGGGCACCACCAGACGCAATCTGTCTAGGGGTGATCATCTGCATGTAATCGCTGCCTGTCTGATTACATGTGAACGGCGGCGAAAGGCTGCAGGCGTTGTCAGCTTCTCATTGCTTTGTATAGCACTTCCCTCCCGCAGCTGTTCACATAAACAGCGCTGAATCTCACTGAGGAATTTAAGAGAGTGCCCCTAGATGCAAGTGTTATTGAGACTGAAATAAACATATACTTGGGTTCCATTTTACACAAAAGAAGTAGATTCTTATCATTAGGTTCAATGCGAGACTGATTATGATTGTCCCTTGAGATTTACTCCAGGGTTAAGGTGGCCATACACCTGCCGATTATCGTACGATAATCACGGGAAACCCCGCGATCGTACGATAATCGGCAGGTGTGTGGAAGGCGTGCAACCGTTTCTATTGTGCGGCCGCAGGTTTTTTTGTCTTGCAAGCAGGCTGGAAAACCAGCCGAAGATTTTCGGAGGGTTTATGGCGTGCTCGTAAGACAAATGCCAAATGGGCCGGTGTGCACATGCGCACACTGCCTGCTCAGCACAACAGTCATCGAAAGCCCACCCCTCAGGGGGCGGGCTTGTGATGATCGCAAGTACGATCTGCCTGTCCAAGATGGGCAGATCGTATGATTTTTGAATTATCTTACAACCATCGCAAGACGAAAGTCATGCGATGGTGCAAAGTGTATGGCCAGCTTAACAGTGATTTGGAGTGAATGCAGTGCTTGAAATACTTGATATCACCTTCTGATGAGCAGATATTGCTGAATGTTACCACATGATGGAAACAACACTAAAGCAAACTGTCATTCATCTCCATTCTCCAGATCTCCAAAGCATTGCAAAGCGTGAATTGAACTAATACAGTTAAATGCAACTATGTAATACATCTAACATCCCTCAAACTCTACATAGTATAGAAAACATGCACATAGTGATATCATCATCAGCCCCTAGCTGTCTCTCCAAAGGAATATGCTAAATCCAATCCAGAAAAAACGAAACAGGAAGTGCAGCTCACGGCAATAGCCTGGTTGTCAAGGGGACAGGAAGCAAGGGGAAATCTCTGAAACTGGGACATGGCCAGTTATGAAATCAGAAAGAGGATCTGCCCAAACATTGGAAAAAAACGTTTTAGCTGGAGTTCTACTTAATCCCTTGCACTATAATGCTGATTCTATAAATAGACAAAATGGTTAGCAGAGCATTGATTTTGTAATGCTTGTGAGGGTTTAACCCTTTAAGTTGATACAGATCAGTTAAATGAAACAAAAACTGAGATGTAAGGCTCACCATACACAATAAAATCTCTGTACAGTCAAATTTAGAGTTACCCAAACTATATAATATGGGGGCCTACCTAAACTATCCAATCAATTCATAACCAATGAGGCAAGCCCTTGCAATACACACGTCGGTAGCTCTACTGGAGATTGTATAATTGGATTGTATCATGTGTTGTGAGTGTAACCTTTATTAACACAACAAAATAGCAAAGATGTAACAAACGGATCCCATTCATACTCAGAGCAACAGCAAAATGAATCTTTGTTCTGCTTCCCATGGCATTGTCAATGGTCACGTGGTTTACCCTTACCTATATTGCCCTAGAAATGGATTCAGAAATACATACAATGCAACATGCAATTATTAGCTGGCTGCTGGCATGCTATATAGTGTTTACATCCCAATTTAATTGCTGGATCGAGGACGATAATCCTGCATAAGGTGTCCCCAATCAGCTAACGACATTGAGGGGAATTTATCAAAACTGGAGCAGTTGTGCATGGCAACCAATCAGCTTCTCTCTTTCATTTTCACATCTTCACTAAACAGACTGAAGGGAGAAGCTGATTGGTTGCCATGCACAGCTGCTGCAGATTTTGTCTGCTCCGTTTTTGATAAATTCCCACCCAATGAACTTTCTGACGACCTCTATACAAATTAGTAATTATATATATATATATATAATTCCAGTAAAGGAATTGCAAACTACCAGGGAGTGATCAAAGATTTTAAATGCACAAATTCAGATTTCCTTGGCAAATCCTTTAGGATCTGTATTTTCAGCCACGTGACTGTCATTTTCAAACCTCATTGGACATATCTGAAAATAACTGTCACTCTTTTTAAAAATCAGGATCCTTATGCTGGTGTTTTAGTTATGTGACTGTCATTTTCAAACCTCATTGGACTTATTGAAAATAACTGTCACTTTTATTGAAATTGAGGATCCTTACACTGGTGTTTTAGCCATGTGACTGTCATTTTCAAACCTCATTGGATTTGTCTGGAAATAACTGTCACTCTTTATGAAAATGAGGATCTTTACGCTGGTGTTTTAGCCATGTGATTGTGAATTTCAATTTCACTGGACTCATCTGAAAATAACTGTCACTTTTTTTTGTTTTTTTGTTAAATCAGGCTCCTTAGGCCATTGTTTTAGCTTTTTTTGAACTGAACCTTTTATTTTCTCAAGCCAGCAGCATCATGTCCAACCCCTAAATACCATTGTATTTCAATAGGCTGTCATTGACATATGAAGGGCCTCTAATGTCATCCAACAAAGATGACTGATAGAGGTCCACATCTGAAGCGTCGATGTGCCCGGTCACTTACATTCCCAGGTCGCTGTAGATGTTGAAGAATTCCATTTGGTTGCAGGCTTGTATCCATCCTACCACCCAAGTCTCGTTCCTGGGTAAGGGTGGCATTAGCACACGAGCCGAGGCTTTGAAGTAGGGGGTCTTGTATCTTAAGACAATCGGCGAGTTCTCCTCGATGGAGGTAGGGCACTGGTCTATGGTGGCACACACATCGTACACAGTAATGTTCTCCCTCCTGATGCGGGACTTGCAGGTAATGCTCTGGAGACAGCCCATGATCGGTGCTTGGCTCGGGGGCAGGAGGGCAGAGGCATCAATTAATCCGAACAGGGCGATCGCAGTGGGAAAGGAAAAAAAAAAGAAAATGGTGACAGTGAGACGATCGCTTCTTCTTCCAGCATGGCACTGACGGCTCTCCGCTGCAGATGTAGGGCCGAGCAGTGATGAGTCTTGTGAGTGCACTGTTTCTTCATCGCTTGGTTTTAGCCAGATGGTAATATTATACAGCACACTGATGGATGGATACCCCCCTCCCTGCTCCTCCTCCTCCACTTCATCTTGATCTCCCTACCATGCTGTTTTCCCAGTGCCACCTGCCTCCGATTCCTTCTACCTTACCCCCTAGCAGCCGCTGCCCCCCACCCCAGGCCAAGCCTTTCCTCTCCCCCTGTGCCCCGCCAGGATAGCCGGGACTTGTCATGTCCCAGGTGGCCGGGAGTTGCTGCTATCGCCCTCCGTTGCTGTGTGGCTGCTCTCCTCTGGCTGTCAAGCTGCTTTTTGTGTTGCTGGGGAGGAGTAGTCCGATCCTCCCACTCACCGAGCTGCTGTCACACAGGATCAGAACAGGTTAGGGAGACCCTCGTGCTGTAGCCAAGACAGGCAACCCGATGCATGGCACATTTCAGCACCGTCTACCAAAGGGGGAGGAACTGGCATTCCGTGGATCTGTCAGTATACTAATGATCTCCATCATCAGAACACACCCTGCTTTGTCATTTCTAATCTATAAGAGATAAGTCATCAATAGGTCTCGGTGCTGTCATCGGCTGATCGAACAGCCCGCTATGCGGTTCGGATAAGTTTGTCCCTTTGCGGCCACACTAAGATTAGAAGGTTTAAATCCCCTGACAGACGCCGCTGGTGTAAGGCGTTAATACAGTATATATAGATGTGTGTGTGTGTGCCGGGGAAACACGAGATGGACACAAAATAGAAATAAACATAATGGGGATGCTCCGTCTTGTGTCTGCTAGACGCGGTGATGAATGTGACACACAGATCTAACGTTACACTATGAATTATGCAGACATGCTGTATATGCATGCAGTCAATGTGCTGACATTTTATCTCTTGGAGGGTGGGGAGAACCAGCGCCTACAATCCTCACATCACATTCACCACAACTGATTCTGCTCCACTTCACATGACCAGCACTTGTTAACCTGGCCATTTACTGGGAGAAAGAACACTGTGTGGCCCTATCGTGACACCCCCCCACACTTGTTTAATTTTTCAATTGATTTTTGTTGAAGAAGCCCCTCCGCAAGTTCTTGAATGAGACTGCAGCCAATCAGCTACAGTCCATGTTCGAGTACCCTGACAGTGGCACACCTGATACAGTGCCCCACAAATGTTTAATTTATAGGTCTATTGGCATTGAAGATCTTGTATGTACATGAGTAGAAAGCTGGTTACAACAGTGGATTCAAAAGGTAGAGATTAGTGATGGGCTCGACGTTCGAGTCGAGCAAGAGTTGGACTCGAACATCGGCAGTTCGTGTGTTCGGCGTGCTATTCGCCCGCCGAGCTCCCCACAAGGCACTGCGCACCGCACAGTGCCTTGTGAGCCCTGATTGGCTAAAGCCTTGCACCTGACCACAGGTGGACAATGCTGGGCGTCGTGATTGATCATGGATTACGTCGGTGGATCCATTTTTTTTTTAAAATAAAAGACTTGTCAAAAACTTGTCTTTTGTTTATTTTCAATTAAAGGACTTTTTCAAAAGTCTGCCCTCTTTTTTTAAACTTTAATTTAACCCTTTAGTGAATGGGTAGGGGTCCTACCGCAAGTACCCCTTTCTCATTCACAATGTGAATAAGCCCCCTGCCCGAACCCCCACAACCAACGCCCCACAGCTTGTGGGGAAGAGGCCCTTGTCCCCATCGGCACGGGGACAAGGTGCTTTTCCAGGGGGGACCCTGGAAAAGCACCCTCTTAGTGCCAAGGGCACGTGGCGTGGTATGGGAGGGAGGGGGGTGCTCGCTCGCTCATCCCCCCTTTCCAGCCCTGCCAGGCCTGTGCTTGGATCAAGGGTCTGGTTGGGAATTTTAGGGGGGATCACACTTTTTTTACCTCATTTTTGGGGGTGGGGTTCCTCCTTAAAATTCCTAACAGACCTTAAGGGCCTGGTATGACTTTGATGGGGAACCCCACACACTTTTTATTACATAGGGGCCCTCCTAAAATTCCTACCAGACCTTAACGGTTTGGTATGACTTTGGGGGAACCCCATGCTTTTTTTTTTTCTTTTAAATGGGTTCCCTTCTAACGTTTCTACCAGACCCAAAAGGTCTGGTATTGTTTGGAAGGGGGAACCGCACGCTTTTAAATTTTTTTAATTTATAAATGTCATTTTATTTTTTATAAATGTCAGTTTTCCTGCAGCAGGTTCTATACATCGTACAGATGTGGCACTTTACAGGCAGTTTAATGGGACACCACAGGCACTATATTTAAAGGAATTTTCTATTTTTATTGTTTCACTTTATGCAATGTTAAAATCCCTGCTTGTTTAAAAATTTTATTTTTTAAAAGTGTTTTTTTCATTGATACATGTCCCCCAGGGCATTACCCCGATCCCCATACACTTTTCAAGTTCGGGTCCCATAGACTTATATTGAGTTTGAGTTCGAATTCAAACTTTTTTCATCTTCTAAAGTTCGAATTCGAACCGAACACAGGGGTGTGAGGCCCATCATCAGTAGAGATAAACTTTCTCCAAATGGTCCAGAGTCCTAAGTGGAATGCTCCTGGATTCAGTCCTAGGACGAGGTCTGTTTCTCTTATTCACTAACAATATAGACATTGGAATAAATAGCTCAATCTCAGTGTTTGCTACCAAGATACAGTGTAGAGCAATAAGTTCTCAACAATCACTGCAGCTAGACCTTGATAATGTTGAGGAGTGGGCTGCAACATGGTAGATGCAATTCGATTTTGAAAAATGTTAGGAGATGTTCTGCTGGGGAAGTCAGGGATGGAGAAAGATCTGGGGGTTGTTATAGACCACAGACTGAGCAATAGCAGGCAATACGTTTAATATACAAATTAGCCAAGTGTGTGGACACATGAGTACCGCACCCCGCATGCACATAATGAAGGAACACAATCTGGAGTTCAGTATCTATAACTTGTACAAAAGCTGGGGCTTTAAATCGATATTCATGGAATGGTACAGACAGTAAAGTTAGTAAAATATTGCATTTGTTATCGTTTTACAGTTAGAACACATATAGATACTATACAAGGAGTACGTCTAAAAACCTGAGATGCAGAGAGAGGTGAGAAGAACCCCATCACAACCAACAACTTATGTATAATAATAGTTCTCTATCATTTTTAGCATTACAGAAATTAAAATGTTTTATTTGAATGGGTCCTGATTCTTGATGATTCATGTATTCCCTTCAGGAGAAGGGTTCAATAACTCTGCAAAACCATCTCAGACCTGCATATGTGGACCGATGGTGCAAAAAGAATCCCGATCCCCCTTAGTGGGAACTGCGAGTGGGTTAAAAAGTACAATGCCATGGGAGCTGGTCAAGGCTTCTTGAATTGGCAACGAAATGTATGAGTCCCTGATACTGAGAAGAGAAACATAACAGGGAATATGATCGCAATATACAAATCTATCAAAGGGCAGTATAGAGAATAAAATATTTAAACTAAGATTTCTGAAGATGACATGTGGACACAACAAGAAGTTGGACAACATGCAGTTTCATCTCAGACTGTGTAAGGGTTTTTTTACTGTCAGTAGTAAGAATGTGGAATTCCCTTCCATAGTTAGTTGTATCAGCTTAAAACATTAATAACTTAAAAAAACACTTAGAGGGTAATTCGAAAAAAGGGTGAAGAGTTTGGGGAAGGCAGGAGAAGTGAACAATCTAGGACAGGGGTGCCCATTAGGTACATCGTGATCTACCAGTAGCTCTCAAAGCTGATGCTGGTAGATCACGAAGGGTGTGAATGGTGGCCCCTTTATTCCATCTTGGTATATTTATTTAGCTGTGCACACATGATTACCTATTAGCCTGAGTCTGCTCAGCCAAGCTCTCTGACACCTTTCTGGTGGATACTGGTGGCTGAAGTGCTATGTATTACATCAAAGAATATTAGTTTACACAGCCTGTTGCAAAATACAGTAAGGGGAGCCAGGAGAGAGAGAGGAAAGAGAGAGAGGAGAGACAGCCAGGGGAGAGAGCAAGGAAAGACAGCCAGGAAAGAGAGAGAGGGGAGAGAGCCAGGAAAGAGAGAGCAAGGAGAGAGAGAGGAAAGACAGCCAGGGGGATGAGCAAGGAGAGACGGCCAGGAGAGACAGCCAGTAGAGAGAGAGCGAGTTTTTTTTCCTTGGTAGATCTCATGTAGCTCATCATTTGAAAAGTAGATCTTAACACAAAAATTGTGGGTGCCCCTGATCTAGGACAACATAGCTGAACTGGAAAGTGAGATGAATTGGAAAATTTTTCCAAATCAGCTATGTTGTCCTAGATTGTTCACTTCTTCTGCCTTCTTCAAACTCTTCACCCTTTTGTGAAGGACCCTGTTAGATGCGTTTCTGGAAGATATGGGAGTTGTTATCAACTTGTGTATATACAGGTACACACACACACACCTTGAACTGGATGGACCTGCATCTTTATTCAATTTTACCAACTATGTAACTATTTGTATCCTCCAACCAGGAAATGAGGCGGGCTCTGTCTGACTTGCCACAGCCTCTAATGCACATGCTCACAGGGTGCAGTGAAATCAGAGTAAGCAATTTCAGTACAGGAGAGGAGCTCAAAATCTAAAATTTAATCTGTTTATATTCCGGCTTCCCTGGTTCATCCTTTATCCCTTAATTAACATGTTAATGAAATGATTAGATAAAACCTGTCTGAATTTTGTTCAAAAATGAAATTGAATCGGACATGTGACTTTTCTGGCCAATCCGATGTGTTTTTCGGGTTTGATGCATCCGAATGGGTCTGAATACGAATTTTCGTTACGGCAACGTGGAAACCATATGTATGCCTATAATACTAAACCTGACGCTTCTAGACCTGGATGGTATTCGGGATACAAATTTCCGAATTGCACTTCAGTTTGGAGTGGCGGCTACTTTACAACACACACAGAGACTATGGAGAACTAAAGCAGCCACCCTCCAGAAGGAAGGACAGTGTCAGCACCAATTCAGAGATTATCTGAGGATTTTCACCTGAGTGATACACAAATAAGTTACATTTTGTTAATAGTTAAGGTACCTGAATGTATCTTTAAGTAGGGATGCACCGATATATCGGCCGCCGAAACATATCGGTAGAAAATGGCACTTTTGGTAAAATGCCGAAAGTGCAATTTTTCTGCCGAAATAGCGGTGCATCTGTTCTTTCCCTACTCCCCACTGAGCGCTGCTCTGTGTCCCAGCAGGGAGGAGAGAAACTGTCACAGGCGCCCGAGCACTGCGGGAGGAGAGCGCTGTGAGCGGCCGGCGTCTCTCCTTTCCGCACCTCTCAGCCTTCTGTCACAGATTAGGAGAGCGACCGTGTGGGCGGAGACAGCCAGTGCTGTCACAGGAGGCCGGCCGTGCGGGGGAGGAGTCCGCTGTCAGATCAAGCTCT